ATTGCAACCACCGATCATAACAGCATATGCATTTAGACCTGACCCATTTATAGGTTGTGACACGTTAAGAACCAATAATTTAGTGTATAATTACATACAACTAATTACTAAAATGAACCATTAAATCAGCACAACAACAAAAACTAAACCTATTATCAGTGTCCTTGGATTTACAATAATGTTTTTTTCCCCTGTCTTTTCTACCACTGCAATAAATAATCACGGTTGCAGAACACAGTTTGTCCCCACTGAAGGAATTATGACCCAGCAGAGGTGCATTGTGGTATATCATCTGAGCAATCTCTCTGCGGATCTTGGGCTCTGATAGGTTATTGATTTGCTTTGCTTCCATTTATCAGTAGATGAGTTTGAAACATTGTTTTTCATTCAGTAAGCCTCTGTGCTGCACCCCAGGGGCCGCCATAGACAAACACAATCCGAGGAGCAATAGTCAGGGAAAGCTAACACAACTGGAGCTGTAACACATAAGGCAAGAGAAGTCAGCATTTGTGGATTGGAATAGAGCAATGCGTTTATAAAGGTATGTACAGTGTTTTATTCCTTTCCCTAACCCTACAGTATGTTAATTAATATTACTCAGTACTTAAATGTATAATTAAACTGTAACAAGAACACCTTACAATAAAGTGTAACCCGTGGTGTTATTACCTATTGATGGACCCGCAGCTTCAGTAATAAATCAGATTGTGTTAGCCACTCTCTCCGTCTCAGTGAGCAGTCCTGCGGTGCGTGCCGTGTGGGAGTGACCTTCAGGCGAGCGTGTGCACACCAGAGGGCAAAATGGACAGACACGGCCTTATGAAGGCCTGTCAAGACTGACTGGAAACTTCATAATCAACAAAATATATTTTACATTCGAAACTACTCAATAACTATCTGAAAATGGACACAGAAAGAGAGAGAGAGGTCAATACGATTGTAGGCATTTGGGTTACATTTTTATATTCCTATTTGATGGCTGAGTCTGAGAGAAGGTCTCAAAGAGCAGGGGATCAGAGATGAAATCATGGTATAAATAATTATATTCTACTTTTGCTTATTTTGAATATTATTTAATACGTTAATGACACTGTATGAAAGGCAAGGATATGACTTTGCCTACTCTGAGCTTCTGGTGCCCTCTATAGGATGAAATAGGCTCTGAATAATGATGAACCTGTCGTGATGACTTGCAGTATTCACACAAGATGCCTCGGCTAATACTATTGGCTAAGAGCAGAAGGAAAAACGGGGTCTCCAAAAGGGGGCTCAGAGAGCTGAATCCCCAACTGAGATCTAAGTATTTTGGCTAACAAAAGAAAGAAAAAAAGCAATAGCACTATTAAGACGAATAATAATAATATGAATAATTATACACATAAAAGATGTTGTAAAAATATTGCAATGCCGTTTAAACATGAACTTCATATATATCAAAAACAAGATGTAATCCGTTGATCTTCAAACAAATCTGTTCAAACAAACATTTGGGACATAAAAGAGGCTGTAGTTGCAACAAACAAACAAAAAAGCCATTTTCTGAAAAGACAAGCAATGAGGTCTCAATCTGACTTTTTAAAAATTTCACCCTGAGACCCGAGAGTTTGCCTGGTGTGCATTTTATAATTGTTCTTGCAATTTGGGATAAGTAGGACCTAATAAATATAATAACTAAAATTTGTTTTTGTACAGGAAGTAGTTTTTGCAGAAAATGATGTCCTCATGTGAGGACAGTGGGTCTATGATTTACCATATGATGTCCTCGTGTGAGGACACAGTACAAGCAATAAAAAAAAAAAAAAAAAAAAAAAAAACTTGTGGTTGTAAAATGGTTGTAATTCAAGAATGCTTTGGAATATAGACATATGGTTGGTCTTGTTTTTAAGAAGACATTTGCCAGATTATTGTAGAAGTGAAATAAATTATGAAAGTGAAACAAAACAAAAGTTATATAAGTTTGAGTTTATGAAAATATAGAATGTAAAAATATAATTATTTATATTTTATATAAAATATATATATTATAAAATATATTTTACTCTAAAACTGCTAGAAAATTAAAGCCAAATATCTAAACAAGTTGTGTTCCAAATTTTAGGTTGATATCTCAAAAAATGAGCTTTCAGTAAGATTTTATTTGGGCGTAGTACCAAACTTTTTCACTAGATGGACAGCCAGCTTCCTTACTGACCATATAAGGGTCTCCATTTTCATATGTTTTGAGTGATCTGAACCATGTCTTTCCATAATTTCATACAATTTATTAAGTATACATCCTATTCAGAAATAGTATGGGTGTTTTGGCAGTATTTGATTTGATTTCAACCTCTAATAAACATAAAAAGAGCACATATGTGCGTTATAGCTCGCTGCCGCATCACAAATCGAGAATTCATAATATTTTTCTTTATATTCTAAAAATTCAGACCTTTTTTTCTCATAACATTTAATTAGTGTTATCTTTTGAACTCTTGGCATGAAAACAAACTGAGGTTTCTACCAATCTTTCATGATTTTTCATGTTTTTTTTCTATTTCAAAATAAAGGCCTAAACACGCCTAATGAATATGAAATATTCTTGTTGCAAATTGATAAATTACTGCTATTCTGTAATTTATTTTAAAAAACAGCCACCAAATATGAAAACTAGAGATTGTAAGCTTTCAAATGATATTTAGTTTGTCAATATTACTTTAGGTTTTTACTAAGATATTATTGTTCTAAATATATATGGGCAAACGTCCCACGTGGGACGGTGACAGTTAAGGGGATTACGTAATATAGTCCCAATGTCCTCAAACGAGTACTTCATATTTACTGATGTCCTAGAGTGCTACTATTACTAAAATATGTCAAATTTTAATCCCCATATGATGATAGAGACAGTATTGTACATAAATACATTTGTTTCATTCATATAATTTGAATAGATTTTTTACCTGGGTCATTTTTCTTTCGGGAACTGGTGTAGAAGTGTTAGGGTTAGGGTTAGGGTCATTTTCTTCTCACTGACATTGGTGTAATGTTATGATATCACTACAAGATGGTGTGGGCAGTGCCCCTAAATCTGGCCAACATGTCTAAGATTTACAAATTTGACTATCATTGTGTCAAGAGGCAAAAATGTAATGTCCTCATATGAGGCCGCAGGGTCTCAGGAGGTTAAACCTGTTAGCCTGGTTAAAACCAGACAATTCTTATGACCGAGTTATGGTCTGGCAAAGCGTCATAGACAAATAATTTCCAGAGGGGCGTCACCAACGGACGTCGCCGATAGACCTAAAACCAATCAGGGGGCCGTTTCCCGAAAGCATCGTTAGCCAACTATGGTCGCAAGTTGGTCGCAAATCCCATTGAACTCTATTGGTAACGACGGAACTTGCGACCATAGTTGGCTAATGATGCTTTCGGGAAACGCACCCCAGAGCAAAGAAGGAGATGACGTATGCAGAGCGGCGGAGAAACATCTCCGAGTGTTGTTCTTTGCTCGATTTTTAACAAAAAGGAAACGTTTAAATCGCTTAAAACAGACGCGATAGCTGATTCGAACGAGTGATGTTCGACGGCGGCATCCATCTTTGTAATGTAGGCTAAAATCTGCTTCAAAATCCCAGCGCTGTCGTCATCTGGTAAAGCCCGCAACAACGTTTCTGATTGGTGCCTCGATTTCGACGGATTGGAAATGGGCTTGAATGAGCCCCTTGCCAGACTAACTTTCAAAGCAAATCTAAATTTGCCGGAAGTTGTCTGGGTTTTCCCAGGCTATAAACCTATAAGACTCTGCAAACCATTTATGCCATTAAAATGGCGATAGACTGTTTCAATCTTATCTTCTGGCTTTTGCACTATATTTTGGACGGCTGTAGAGAGAGAGAGGTCATTCACCACAAATGCGTTTTTGTGGTTAAAAATGCGAGAAGCAAGGCAGTGGAATGCAAAAAAAAACAAGGTCTAGACACGTTTTTTGATAGTTTACCTTTTAATTTAATTTAATTTAGAATGTCGTGTCATGCACTACAAAAGACACGAACGAAATCGTCAAACACGCCTCGGTGCATGTTTACATATAAAAACCATGGAAAAGCAGTGCAGTGGAATGTAAAAATGCTTCCTGTGTGAATGGCCCCACAGACTGCATTACCTCTCTTCACCAGCAGAGAGCAGTCCCTCCTTAAACCAAAGCCATCTCATGCACATGTAGGTGTTCTGCAGCACTCAATACCACTGTGAGAGATTGGATTGGCTGGCTCGGTGTCGGCCCATCATCTGACTAACACTTAATGTGTGCGAGCTTGTGTATGGAGGCTTGCTGAGTAAGGAATACTAAAGCCACTATTTAATGTAGACCAGGTCATGCTGGAGTCTGAGCATGCTCACTTCAACAGCTGCAGGCGCTATATTTAGCTCATCTGAGACCCCTGCACTGAAAGAGGAGAATGTAATCCACGACGATGTTTTTCCGTTTCCTCATTGCAGCAGAGATATTAAAAAACCCAATCAGATATGAATTTGTAAATGATGCATACATCTATATTTCAAGATATCAACCACCATCATTATCGATTTTCAATAGAATGGAAAATGATCAGTGTGGATAATCATGATATGCTTTACAGCATGCATTAAGTTCTTGAGTACCTTCTTAAGTTAGAACTACAACATTGTCTTATTTTCATTTAAATTGACTTGTTTCAATTAAACAAAATCAGTTGATGGCTGTCAGAGCTGATTTGCAGAATCCTGGTGTGACAAAGTTTCAACACACACACAGTATCATGAAAGTACATATATTCATATCCTCCAGTCCAGTGAGTCTTATTTCAACACCAAAATAGTATGTATTTCCCAAAATAACACCTTTGATATTAAAATATGAAGGTTGAACAGCCTAAAATATCCATATCCCGCCACTTGTCTGTTTTTGCACACAAACCTCTAATGAGCATCTTAGAGATAAAACTGACTTTTATCTCATAATACATGTAAGATAAGATTCTTACCTGACAGTCAAAGTCTTGGAAGTTCTGAGAGTTCTGTAGGAAAAAGAGATGATATCTGATTATTCCTTACTCACTGAGGTGCATAAAACATGTCTAACAATGTTAAATATTGATCATATTATCAATTATTCTCTCCCAGCCACTGCTGCTCTTTATATTGACACCACTAGATGGAGTGAGAGGTCAGCGAGTCTCTCCAGTTCACGCATTTACCCTTGTTTCACAGACAAGGCTGTTTGAGCTGTTTTAACTGAAAGCACTTGCACTGACATATGTTAGTGCCATTGTTTTGTCTCAATATGCACAACAGAATTTTTTTTCTTGCTAATGCACGTTTATAAAAGCTACTTAAATGTCCTAATTGAACTAAGGTCTAATCCTGGCTTAATCTAAGCCCTGTCTGTGAAACCAGGCCATTAATAAAGAAAAAATACAATTATGTCATAATTAACTCACCATCATGTCTTTTTAAACCCCTCTATGCTGATTTTTTTTTTCAGTGGAACACAAAAGTAGAAAATTAAGGTGTATGGATGATTTTTATAACACTTTTTATGATACATTGTTGGTGTTTTATGGAACTTGACAGCCGGTCACAACATTTTTTGTATTTCAAAGGAAAAAACTAATAACACCCACCTGCAAGTGTAATGAAAATAATTCTAATATACGGTACTATAAATGTGTGTAAACGTTATGTATTATACAATTATAAATATTACAAATAATTTCTATTAAGTTGACACTATCTTTTTTCTACCAACCCCATCTGTGTACTGATAAAAACCCGAAGGAAAACTATTGCTGTCAATACACATAAAACAAGGAAATAATTTCCAACCAGTATTGTCAAATTGGATACATTTTAGCTTAGTTTATCATTTCATTTTTTTAACCCTATGGCTGCTTTATGGTTTAGCCCATTCATTAGTTTAAAGTGAGAGAAGGACCACCCATAAAACGTTTGTCCCTTGCCTCTTGCGTTATACTGGCGGCCTCACTCAGCACTAATGGGTGTATGTATGACATTTACATTTCTATTTTTAGCATTTTGATATGGATGCTGTGTGGCAAAAACTAATGGCAAGATTTAACTGACAAACCCTGGGATGCCATTATGAAAATTTCTGCCAATAGGGGCTGCAGGAAGAAAAACAATTATTCTGGACTGGATTGAAATATCTTTCATTGTGCATAATCTTTTGGCACCTCAACCCCATTCCCATCCTTTAAATTCCATTCTTCCACTTTTTCTCTTGCTTAAACCATTTCACTACAATTCCACCCCATCCGTCCCTTTTCCATCTCCATTTGTTTTCACTTGCTTCATGCTCTCTCATGAATTATTCAGTTTGATGAAGTAAAGAAAAACGCAGAGGTAGAGAGGAACTTTGCCTCAGCTACAGGAAAACACAGATCTCTAACACGAGGAGCCGTGGAGGAAAGACATGTGTGAGAGTGTGGCACAGATGTGTAATGCATGAATCGTGAGACGTGGCATGTGTGCGTGAGCATCACAATGCATTACAGAGAGAAAAGAGCAATAGTATGAGCTCTGCTGTCTCTATAGGCTTTATATTGTGTTAGATCTTGCTCCTCCTCATACATTTATGTGCATATATATCAGCAACGGCTAAAAGTCTGGCTGCAAATTCTGCTGATTTAAACTATGCATCTAGCTGACTTACAAGATTTATAACAAATGATTTTGTAAAATGTTTGTAAAAATAGAAAGAATGACTTTAGGAATGGGTTGGAAATTCTAAACCAAAAAATTGTGATGGAGTTGGAGCCGTATCATTTCCAGCTATTATTACTTTTTTAATTCAGTTTGTGCGTCGGCTTGCTAAAGAGATACTGAGTTACTCATCTGTGGCGATGTGTTTTGCAGCAACATGACATCATGACTTTGCGTAAACATACACGCCACTTTCAATTCAAGTGGCGTGTTATCTATACGCATTTTGAGGTATCCGCGTGTATGTCCACGCCGAAATCTTTTGCGTGTATGTCTACGCCATTAAATGTCCGAGTGATTCCGCGTGTATGTGTACGCCGTTAAATGTCCGAGCGAAACGAAGCAAAATCTATATCTACATCTGTGGAGCGATATTTCTTTTCCTAGGATGGTAGGAGAAGACTCATAAATGGTATTAACCCCAGTGACGGGTAGGTTTAGGGACGGGGTTGGGGTAGGTCATATGAATATATACATAATACAGTAATATAACGTTAAGTCAAAGGCGTTGATAAACACGCTGAAAAGCGATTATGCGTGTTGATAGCACGCCAAAAATGAAAATACGAATTGGCGTGTCATACATACGCCATTTCATGAGATCAGTCTGTTTGCAGTAGCGCTGTCATATCTGGTGAATCCGCTGTCATATCTTTCATCATATTTGATGAAAATTTACATATGTGGCTTCAACAACCAGATGCATTTACACAAACCTCTTGAAGTGGTTTGAGTGACCGGATTTAAATCGATATCAAATCGAAACCATTTCAGACGGCCTTTACACCTGGTCTTTTCACGATCATTTGATGACTTTACTATCATTTTACTTTCATTTGATGGCTTTACAATTATTCTAAAATGTATTAAAAAAATTAAAATAATTATAATAATAATAAAAGTTACAAAAAAATTTATAAACAGAACTAACAGAAAAAGGTATAGGTGTATCAAACCTAGGGTCTATAAAAACAGGGTGTGTACAAGACAGAAGATGTGTTTGTCGTGCAAACCTGACAGAGGTATCCCTCGTAAAAGATATAGTAAGCTACACTCACCGGCCACTTTATTAGGTACACCTGTCCAACTGCTCGTTAACACTTAATTTCTAAGCAGCCAATCACATGGCGGCAACTCAGTGCATTTAGGCATGTAGACATGGTCAAGACAATCTCCTGCAGTTCAAACCGAGCATCAGTATGGGGAAGAAAGTTGATTTGAGTGACTTTGAACGTGGCATGATTGTTGGTGCCAGAAGGGCTGGTCTGAGTATTTCAGAAACTGCTAATCTACTGGGATTTTCACGCACAACCATCTCTAGGGTTTACAGAGAATGGTCCGAAAAAGAAAAAACATCCAGTGAGCGGCAGTTCTGTGGGCGGAAATGCCTTGTTGATGCCAGAGGTCAGAGGAGAATGGCCAGACTGGTTCGAGCTGATAGAAGGGCAACAGTGACTGAAATAACCACTCGTTACAACCGAGGTATGCAGCAAAGCATTTGTGAAGCCACAACACGCACAACCTTGAGGCGGATGGGCTACAACAGCAGAAGACTCCACCGGGTACCACTCATCTCCACTACAAATAGGAAAAAGAGGCTACAATTTGCAAGAGCTCACCAAAATTGAACAGTTGAAGACTGGAAAAATGTTGCCTGGTCTGATGAGTCTCGATTTCTGTTGAGACATTCAGATGTTAGAGTCAGAATTTGGCGTAAACAGAATGAGAACATGGAACCATCATGCCTTGTTACCACTGTGCAGGCTGGTGGTGGTGGTGTAATGGTGTGGGGGATGTTTTCCTGGCACACTTTAGGCCCCTTAGTGCCAATTGGGCATCGTTTAAATGCCACGGCCTACCTGAGCATTGTTTCTGACCATGTCCATCCCTTTATGGCCACCATGTACCCATCCTCTGATGGCTACTTCCACCATGTCACAAAGCTCTAATCATTTCAAATTGGTTTCTTGAACATGACAATGAGTTCACTGTACTAAAATGGCCTCCACAGTCACCAGATCTCAACCCAATAGAGCATCTTTGGGATGTGGTGGAACGGGAGATTCGCATCATGGATGTGCAGCCGACAAATCTGCGGCAACTGTGTGATGCCATCATGTCAATATGGACCAAACTCCCTGAGGAATGCTTCCAGCACCTTGTTGAATCTATGCCACGAAGAATTGAGGCAGTTCTGAAGGCAAAAGGGGGTCCAACCCGTTACTGGCATGGGGTACCTAATAAAGTGGCCGGTGAGTGTATATCTTGCTTATGATTGTGTATACAGTAGACGTGCATACTAGTGTGTGTGTGTGTGAGATGAATGTTTCTGATATGTTTATCTCACCTTGTAGGTCAGCAGAGGCTTGATCTCGGTCAGCTGAACATCTTGCAGCTCATCCATCTCTGTATCTGTCTGTACTGCAAAAAAACAAAAAAAAAGCACATTCATGAAACACAATACATGACCAACACTATGTCTTATTAATGTAAACAAAAAACAATGTGCACACTATCTGTTTCAGTTGAACCTAATCTAGTCTAATAAAGCCCAACATTGCCAGACAAATCTCACGTTGCGTCACATTTGCAGCAGACCTCACCTGAGTCAACACAGAGCTTTGTATTGAATTTCTGTTAATAAAACACGCTTTGCGATGTACTTAGTAGAGTTCTAATAATTTCCACCCTTGTAATCAAGCGCAAGTGTAGTCACCCTTTTTATTTTTAATTAACCTGGCAGACCTGAGATTGGGTATCAGCCCACAACAGCCTTCAGTTACACACTCTCGGTAAACAGTAATAAAAGCTGAGAGCCGAAGGGAATGTCTCTACAATTAAATTTGCTCTTTTCCGTTGCCTTGGGAACTGGGATGTTTTGATGTAAGGGTACAGTCTGCTAGCTAGTTAATAAATGTTGCATGATTCTGGTCTGCGATTAACATTCTGAAGGCTAAGTTTTATGCAAGGATCAGTTTTTTAAAATCATTCTTCCAGTATAATCACTTCCTGTATTCATTACAAGGACTGAGACAGGAACGTTCACACAAACTGTTTTTTATTTGCGTCCCTCCTGTTTGATTGCTGCTAATGAGTGACTATGCAAATGAAGCCCCACCTTGTGTTTTTTTCAATCTCTATTCAAGGTGAGACCAACAGAAATATGATGCATGATCAAATGCAAACCTAGATGCAACAAAAATGTGACATTCGGTATGAATGATGTGCCTATTGAGATCTGCTGAGATCATGCTGTAAGGTGGAATGACATGCTGACGTGGCTTAACCCACTTCCACTAGCCTCATCTGTCTATTGTCACAGTTCTGACCTTCCTGACCTTGGGACGGGTCCAAACGTGACTGGCTGCTTTAATTGTAACACCGCCAACGGACTGATGCACCACCATCAGATGAGCTATCGGTTTTAAAACATTTAAAAATCAAGAATTTTGGTTAGAATTGATAAGAATACAGTACGGTACCACTTTAAAAGTTGATCAAAAATACAGTTAAGAAACAGTAATGTGAAAAATTATCACACTTTATAACAACTGTTTTCACAGAATTTTTTTTGATGCTTAAGAAATCATTCTAATATGCTGATTTGTAGTTCCAGAAACATTTCTTAATATTTTTAATGTTGAGAAAACAGTTGTGCTGCTTGGTATTTTTGTGGAAACCATCATTTGTTTCAGGATTCTTTGATGAATAGAAAGTAGGGGTTGCACAGACTAGTTGACTTAGCCATGACACTTTAAGCTTGACGTCGACTAGTCGCTGATCATGGCCTACAGAGGGCGCAACAGGATAAGAAACCTTTAAAGGGACACTCCACCCATTTCAACATTAATCTTTATTGAAAGTGGGTCATATATGTAGTCGAAATGTAAAAGAAATTTTGAATTTGGTGCCCTCTTGACCGAGAAAAGACAGAAAATAACTTTAGGGCGCATTTGTATGTAAGACAACAACTCCCACAATGCACCACATTGCACAGCTCCGCAAGCCACTCCCACTAATCCAGAACAGCGCAAACATCAGAGAAATCACTCTTCCGTCTACAAGGCTAACGTTAGCTGCCAAAAGAGTTTGAAATTAATTTCACACAAAATGTCTAGTTAGTTGGCTGTGGCGAGCAGGACGAGGGCGAGGGACGTAAGAGGACGGCGCGAGTGATAATGAATGACACCTGTGAGACGCAGCGGTCTCATATCTCTCACGGAGGAGAGGAAGCACAAAAGGAACAGGCCTGGTTTTATGTTGTGTTTTGTTTCTGTTGTGTGTGGCCAGCTGGCTTATACTTTTGTTTTGTATTTGTTTATTTTACTATTAAAATGTTTAAATGTTCGCCGGTTCCCGCCTCCTTCTTCCCACAACAACGAACCCGTTACATTGGCAAACTCATTAGCGAATTACTCCTCGTTTGTATTTCTTTCTATATGGTGAATTATTGCATGATACCTGGATGTTCCAGTCAGAACATATGCGGTGCGAAACTAGGATGGTTCACATCACAACACAAACGTCCGTGTGCTCGTCTGATTCAGAGATTTCGTCCAGGAGAAATTGCCATCGTTGAAATTCTCTGCAGCAGACGGACTCTATCTGTGTCCGTAGCGCACAGCGAGAGCACAGGCACCAGCAGTCCGCCCAGCTCGAGCCAGTCCGGGCTCCTCGACCGCGACAGGCAGCCGCCTCCTGTTCCTCCATCAGCCTCAGCTGCTCTTCACTATATTGCGGCTCGTAAAGATAGCCACGAACATCGGATTCGAGCAGCAGAATTTCAAAATCCTCTTCTTCCATATCATGTTTAGTTTCTTCCGTCATTGTCGTAACTTCCTATCTCCAGAGCGCTTGTTAGCTTAGCTTATAAACAAGATGGCTGATATTGATTTCAGTATCTGCAAGTGAAGTCCCACCCACTGATCTGTGATAGCTCTGTTAGCGCATTAGGTCCAACCCCCTATGGGCGGGTTTGAAAGGGTGGGAACTAGTGCTTGTAGTCTTTACAGAAATCCCCCCCTCTTACACTTCCTCCTACAATGACGTAAAATGACGATTTTTGCGTCATTGTAGGAGGAAGTGAAAAAGGTAAATAGCGGATTTCTCTCGTCTCAGGGGCAAATGAGAGAGTGTTGCACGACCATTCAATAGTATGACTGGGTTTCTAACAATGGAAAGCTTAATGCAAATGGGTGGAGTGTCCCTTTAAAGTCCACATTTATGCTCAGTTTCCAAACAGTTAAAATGACAAATAAATGCATACTTTGAGGGCGCTCCACAAGACATGTTTGATTATACCATCTGGATGCTCAAAATTGGGAGAATGCACGTTTAAACAGCTTATTGTAGACGTAAGTTAATCGCTGTTCTAAACTATGAGCTGCTGCATTGTAACACACACACATAGCTCGCCCACATTACGCGCAGATGCACAGAATCATTCAGTAGCACATAAATGTATTGTTAACAATGTTCTGTGATTTATCAATAAAATCGCTTAGAAATGGAAAAGTTCTAGCATACATTTCTTAGTAACTAAAACCCACAGCGTCACTATTAGAGAGACGACACCGCCAAGTAGAATTCATTCACACGCAATCGCTCTCTTACTAATACATTCAAATGTAATCTTTACTGTGCTACTTTATCTGTATCTGATTTAGAAGTGTGAGAAATATAATGACCCAAAGACGAAAGAAATGATAAAAATTTCTTTTTTTAAAACTAACTGACCCCAAACTTTTGAACTGTAGTGTTAC